TCTCTCTCGAGGGGGGGGGGGTCATACTGACACCACCATTTCACAAATCACGATGGTGTAGCCTGTGCACGTAGAGACGTCTCCACACTACCCTCCCCCCCATAAGCACTGTAACTCCTTGGTAGTATGTAGGTAAAATTTCCACGAAAAAAGCCTCACCCTACCCTATCCTGCCTTATTCGAAAAATTATTTGTTCATTCAGATAATGCTCCGTGTTGTTCCTTTCGACAGTCGAACCTTGGCGCTTGGTATCAACTGGACCTTCCTACGGCTTCTCGGTAAGAAAATAAAGGCATCCTGAACCATTCTTTCAGTGAAGCGCCGTTAAAGGCCTCGGTGAATCCACGAAAAAGGCTACAGATTCTGGAAATTCCCTCAATTAAGGCTTCATCCCTGGAGGTATTCTGTTCGGAATGCTGATCGACATCGCCTGTATGGATTGGGAAACGAGTTGCGGTAACCGTCAATCTTGTCGAGTGTACGATCCGCTTAAGCTGAGCTGGACGATAACAGCCCTTGGTGAGTGCTGCTTGCTTTTCCTTGGATTGTTGGTAAGATGGTATACACTTACCCTTCAGTGCTTATTACTGATGTCGGTCAGGGCGTGTCAGCGGCGCGTAGGTTTTGGCACGGCGCCAGCCCCCTTTCCACCACTCATAGATTGACCGAAACCGCAAGGATCGATAAAAAACGATCTTTGCATTAGAGATGGCGCCGGGCCAAACCATGCCGCGCTGACAAGCCCCTACTGATGCTGCTGTTTCAGTTTACAGCCTAAATCTCTAAGATAGGATGGGCGTGGCTACGTATTTTTATTTAAATGTGGCAGCCACAGCGTTTCTATTGGGACATTTTTGTTCTCAACCAGTGTGATCATTTATTCCTTGAGCACAAGACAAAATGACAGAAGACATGCCACCTCGCATAGAAATGTCCCACGGTAAACTTCATTTTCAAATAGGTTACGCGGCCACGCCCCTTCTATCTCCGGGATATGGGGAGTATACGAAAACACAGCATAAAGGCAAGAGTTTAGGAAAACAGGGTGTGTGGCAAGAGAACCGTAATTCGCCGCGCCAGTGCACGTCGCGTGCGACGTCGCGCCCGCTAATGACGACGATTTTAGGTGGTATTGGTCGAGAATAGACAATGTATGACCAAAATAGACATAAGTGTCTATCATGTCCTTGTCTACAGGAAATCCGATGCTCCAATCCAAGGGTAGTCACCCTGCGCGAAGAAGCGGCTTACGATTCTTTTGGCCGTCTCCCAGGAAAACAGGCGGCAGACATACCCCAAAATTTGCACGTGAAACTAAGTGTGTTGGGCCGTGCACGCACACAATCGGGCATACCATAAGGAGGTTCAATTACCCAAGTTTGAAAAGCTTTACCTAGGGAAAGTTGAGTTGAACCCAGGGTACAGCATGGAAATGTGCGAAATGTCGGTGTGAGTACGGTGCTTTTTCGCCGACGACGAGCAATGAGTATATAGTCGGCGAAAAAGTTGTCAAGTGTGGGGGGATAATAACTAGATGCAACTTATTCCCACGCGTATCAGAATTGCATTTATAGTGCATATAAAACAACATAAAAAATTGATACGACCCCCCCCCCTTTTCCACAAAGAAAAATCAACTATCAAAATAAATTTGTCTTACAAATACGACCCCTCCCCCAGAGCAAAAGTCGAACCCCCCCCCCATCCCCATGGTTTGAAGCGAACCACAACTATGCTGTAGCCCTGGTTGAATCCGGGTGCGCACTTTGCTGAGAATGGGCACACAAAGATTTATCCAGACGCAACGTTTAGGATACTGTATCCCGACTTGTTTGCGCCCATTATGTGGAATTCTATGATCTGAGTGAATTACTGCATAGGTGATCTTCAGCATCGTACTGTAAAGTTGCTGTGCAATTCTTGCCCAGCAATAATCTTGCTACATGACGTACAGACGCAAAACAGATTTGGACAATGGCTTGTCATTACGATCGGTGGACTCACATGGTGCTTTGCAACTTGTCGTTAATGACGATAGACCGCCAGAGGATATCATCAAGGATCAAAATTTAACTAATTGATCGAATCCGAGCGAATAGCTAATTGATCCCCTGAAATTCTCTAAGTTACGTAGATTATTCGACAAATTCCTAACTTCTATACGTGTATTCTTACTGCTGTTCGTGCTCCTTCTCTGCTACCTGCTTCTTGCACGTAGCCCTCATTCGTGGTCCACTAGATCTTTAATTCGTCGATTTCTCAGCACGATTTTCGTTGATGATTGTAAAACTTCAGGTCTGTTGTGGTCTTGCTTTATTTACTAGCCAATGATGAATCACATCCGGTGTCATCTTTTCCCTTTTCATAGCGTCCTCGTAGTCACAGAACCCTCTTTGACTCGAGTGCGGGTCATCACGTCCACATTGCGGCGACGCAGCAAAAGGAGGTTGCGAAGTTTTCCACTAGGATCTGTACTCCACTTCGCTGCGGATGACGGGGCGTGTCAGGCAGTATGAGTGTGTCGCGGCGCCAAACCCTGTTCTCTGCCAGTCCTTGGGGCGGGTATGCGCCAACAGTTGATAGAAAACGAGCGATACGAATGATATGAAACAGTCTTGTCACTTGCCCGCTTAAAAAATTGGTAGAGAACGGATTTGTCACCGCGCCAAAAACCCATCCTGCTTGACACGCCCCTTCGTCCGTAGCGAAGTAGGCTATAACTGATTTTATGTGGAATTTTACAGCATGCCGAGTCAACTGGCTAAGTAATGCTGCACTAGTTTGTGCGTGTCGCCGCAATTGTGCTTGAGGACCCGAACCTTTTGACTCCCTTGATTTCACTTACAAAAGGTTTCACTTAAAATTTGGTCACTTTACACATTTCCGATTTTGCATGTTTTGCAAAGAAAACTACATGTATATATTTATATGAAAATAAAAGCTTAGATCTTCAGAGCGTTTTCAAGATGCATCAGAATGTGAACGAAGACTTTTCCAGAATTATCACAAGAATGCTGAGTTTTGGGCAAAATCTTGACTCCAGGCGAGACCTCATCCCCCAGCTGTTCTTATCAGAACTTGAGATTTTTTTCTTTCTTCCGAACAAGTTTTGATCCATTGCATTCGAAAAGAAATGGAGTTCTCTGCGCTGAGCTCATCCCTTTGATGCTTCAGCCGCAGTGGTCGCAGTTTAGTCCTAAGGAGTGTGAAAAGGAAAAGAAACGGAGGGAAACATTCGAAATTCTTATTGCCAAAAAATCACGAGAAAGTCAAAGCAACAGAACCTTCTTGTGCCATGTTCATTAAGAACATCCCTCGCGTCCAGCAGTTGTCGATAATAGCGCAGTGCGATGTGTCGGCGCTGCGGTGCGTGCCACCCAGGCTCGGACTTCTACCAAATGATTACATTATTTGCTACTCTTGATGTCGATGATGACACTTCACCACATAATGATGGTTGAAAGAAATTATTATTTGTTCAAATCAGCCTGCAATCTGTCCGCATATTCAAGTTTCGATCCCCTCACCTTTCCACAGTCCATAGGAAACTTTCTTTTTCCCTAACCTCCCCCTGAGTCATGGGAGTAAAATTCAGGTTGCCTAGAAAAGTCTGGAAAGAGTCTGCCCATATTTCAGATTTTTGATTCCTTTTTGGTGGAGTTGCTCGGCAGCCTGCTTGCAAAATGTCATTTACTTTTGAATGCGCATTTTTTATTACATGACATTATTTTTTATTATGAGTGTGTCGCGGCGCCAAACCCTTTTCGTGTAGTAATTTTGATATCCTTGGGGGGGGCGAAGCTCCCCCGCCCCCCTGTTGGGGCTCAGAGAAAAAGACTCAGCCATCCTTAACGCTAGTTCATAGCCTTTTCAAGAAGCATCCCATCACATTCCCCTCCGACCGCCCCCCTCCACCGACAGTTATTAGAGCCGCAGATCCCTATCGCATCTGTGCGTTTTTCGGCAAATAGGGAGCATTTTGCACTTTCGCTAGTTCTTTTGTAAATAAGTTCATGTTGATTGAAAAAAGAAAATTCTGCGAGACCTGTGAAGTCGTGAGGCTGGTGAGTGGTGCGAATGAGCCACTTTGGTAGCAGAAACTTGCGAATTTTCACAGGTCGTTGAGCTCTGTTGAGTACCATTCCTTGGTGCCTGCGCCCATCCTGTCACTGTGTTTTCTGTATATCGAGTTACCTTTCTGATTAGCCATCGAGACTCAAGTTGGTCTCTGGATATAAAAGCTCGCCTGTCAGGACATTAGATAAGCTCCTCTGTGATATGCCCTTAGGCTGCTCTTCCTACGCGTATATAATTTTTCTGTCCCAACATGATAATTTCAAGAACATTCGCTTAGAATCGAGAGCGAATTACACGACTTCATCCTAGCTCTAAAAACACAACCAGCTCTAAAAACAAAGTTCATTTCTCATTCAGCTTTCCAGGTACGTGCACTTTTTATGACGTCTGAGGCTGAATACGAAGTCAGAAGCACGCTGATTGGCACGCTTGTTGAGTTATTTCTCGGAAATGCGGTCTTCACCAGTTGTCCCACATCACAGATTCAATCAGGATTTTTTTCTGATAGAATGTGAATAAAACTCGCGTATACTGTTAATTCTTAGTCCACGCGAAGCGTAACAAAATGCCCCCCCCTTTGCAACCCATGCAGCCCCGTCTTTTGCTGGAAAAACGAAATGCAAAGAAGTGATTTGAGCCAACAGGAGAAGGATTAATAGTGACATTCCGACTTCTTTGAACAATAGCCTTCTTAAATACTCAACCCTTAACAAATATGTCAACAGGTTGGCGTCCCAGGCAACGGATTACTTTACTTTGACACCACCCTTCATTTTTTGCACTCTTTGAAAATCTGAGGTTTATATGAGGTACCCTCCGGATGCTTTGGGATTGGCCTCGTTTCATAACGCGAGTAGGGAGCCGCGTTCTAAGCAAGCATCGTGACTTTGAAATGGCGGTGTCAGTAAGTCCTCAGCCCCCGAAACCTCAGTAAGTCCTCAGCCTCCAAGACTATCTGCTCTTGTACGACCATCTTCCCCACCTTGTCTTCCCATGATTCTCCACCCTTGCAACGACGGTGGAAAACGGTATGGCGCTATGCTAACCCATCCGCGTGTAAGCGGGTCGTTTAGTGGATGGTGGGAGAGGGGGGGGGGTAGGCGCCGCACTGAAGCCCACGCAGCTGACAAGCTCCAGCTGACTTCAGTGATAACTACTGTAGGTCCAAGTGATCTGGAGACTTTCTCCATCATGGGGTGGAATGATCTCGCTCCGCCGTTGATCCAGCTGCCCTAGTTGGAAGAATGTGCTGAAAAGGGGCGATCTGCTGTAGAAGGACTCCGTTGAGCGCAGCGATTGCGCTAAACCCCTCTAAGACCGACAC